CTTTGGCCATTTATCCCTTGGTTTGTTGCCTCAGGGATGTGTTTTATATATACATAGCCCATCTTGTTCACTGACAGCACCCCTGATATTGTTTCAGTTCTGTGTCCTGTCCCTGAGAATAGCTAGTTCCAAATTATTTGGGGGGGATACCAAGTAATACCCCATACCACAAATTAATAACTTTGTTTTCATTGTCTAATTCCTTGTCATGCCCTTGAATGACATCTTGGAGTACTGAGTGCTGTAAATGCTGTTTTAAAATGAACCCTATTTTACCAGTTTAGAACTTTCAACTTTGCCTACTGTGAGAAAAGAGAAATAAGAATGTGAATTTACTTTTTCTACATTTAATACTTCAGCCACGTACTGTCTGGTGGCAAAGAGTGGTTCCTAAATATTCAGTAGTATCAGCTCAAACCCCTCCATAGCATCCCAGAAAACTAAATTACATTGTCTATCTGTTCACGATGAAAACAGTTTCCTTTTTCATAAGCAAAGAACCCCAAAGGTAAAGGAAAGCCTTATTAAAGGAAAAGTAGAAAAAACAGAATAATAAATCAGCAGGCTGTGGTCTTGAGCTCACCCTCTTCTCACAGCAGATGCGGAAGTCACTGATCCTGTCCCACCTCGGCTAAGTCCTATGTACAGCTCCCTGCCCAGGCTCAGGGGACCCCATTCCTGGCCACCTCCACCTCTGCCCCTGAAGGAACATGCAGTCCCCCGGGGCTCTTTGCCAGCAGGGAGGGAGGCAGGGGAGGGGATGCCCTGGGCTAAATAGCAGTAGTCAGACCATTGCAGCCGTTCTCCAGAAATTACTGCTCCCTGCTTCAAACATCTTGCCTCTAAGTACTGGGTCTGCAAGGCCCCACCTGTGCCAGTCCTCACCTCAATACACTATATCAGCTTTTTTTCCTCCTTCTGTGTTTTTTTTTTCCTTTACTACTGAAGAAATGAAATTTCAGACCCCTCTTCCTCTTGTTTCCTTTCCCTAGGACTCTTCCCTGTTCTTCTGGAAGGCTGAATTGCTGGTTGGGGTGACTCCTTAGCCTGCTCTTGGTCTAGGCACAGCATGTTTTGTCCATGCCTCACAAGATGTGATTAGCAGCATCTTATTCATACTATCCTCAAACCTGTCAGTATCTGAATAAGAATGTTCCGCCCTAGTACGACTGCTGTGCCAGTGGTGCCAGCTCCCCTGGACCCCCTCACTCTCTAGTGGATGCAGGCAGGGGGCTCCCCACAGAAAGTGGCCACTGGCCAAAGCTCCAGATTGCTCTTCTTTCCCTTTGTCCACAAGTGTCAGCCATGACCTCTTGCCTATCATGTCAGGCTCCATGTACTGTTCATCATTTCAGATCTTTTTTTCTCTTCCCTTTCCTTCGTATCCTTTCTTAAATTAAACAGTGCCAACCTTTCTAACCATGAAATCTCTCCTGGACACACAACTTCTTTGCTGGCTTTCTGAGCTGCTTTCATATGTGCTATATGCTATGCAGGGACAGGGGTATCTGAGCCAACACTGTCTGCAGGCATATTTAAATTGACTTTAATAATACTGCTGCATTGCTTCCCTGTTTTTAATATCAGTTTGCAACCTAGGAGAGCATTTTACTTATGGTTTGGCCGCTGTTTCTCACAGAACAAGGGTCCCTATTGAATTGTCCAGAAGAGGACCCAATTTTGGCCTGTTGTTATTGATTTTATTGTGACTGCTCATCCTGGAACATGCGCAGAAACCAATCAAAATGAGTATAAAAATATTTTGTTCAACTCATAGTTGCTTCTAAGAACAGAAGCTCACAGCATAGCTTTACATGCCTATGCCAGACAGAAATGGTGGTTAAGTGGAAGATGTATCTACTGAGATAGATAAATGAAGCAGGCAAGGAGGGAAGTGCAATCAGCTGCACCAAAGGCACTCTGCTGCACTGGGATGTGTCACTCACACTGGGACCAGTTGGTGGTCTTCACTTGTCAGCCTCAGTTTCTCACAGACCATTTGCAGCCTTCAGAGCAATTCATGAGGGCCCTACCCACTCTTGGACATGGTTGAAGGGCAGAATGCAAAACATGGTGAAGTGGTTCAGACAGGGAGCAGACCACTCTTTTTCTCAGGGACCCTATGCTACCAGTTCACCCAGTGTTGGGAGGGTGCCCTTGGAAAGACAGCAGCAAGGAACAGACCAACAATAGTAGAAGAGTTTGACTATGTGTGTCTTTGCTGTGTGATCTGAGCAGTGCTTCAGAAAAAAGGCAGGCAGAGTAGCAGCAAGGATGCTCTGGCCATGGTTCTCCATGTAGGTGGAAACTTTACTAAGTGGTCCACTGACTTGGGCAGGGAGTGGGCTGTGAGCAGATGTAGAGAGCATGCATGCTATACTTGACATCCCCATCTGCAATAAACTTGATGCGCCTCTGAAGCACTGAGCTTCCTGCACATTCACCATCTGTCTGGCTGCATGCACAGGAAGTCTAGCTGTATGTCAAGGTCATGGTGCAAAGCTGTCTTCTGCAGCAGGCAGACCACATGTATTTCTTCCTGCCACAAGAACAAACACCCTTTCTGCAGATGATCCATGGGGCATCAGATAGCAAGAGGTTTCTGAACTAGGATGGAATGGAAAGAGTCTGCAGCTGACTGCAAAGATTGTTTGCCTTTCCCATAGGACCTGGCAGACTCAGTCTCAGCCAGGAAGAGAGAGAGACCATCAGCCTAAAAAATGTCTGATATGCTTTTTCACCTCTTTTTTGAATCCGTAAGTGGTGGGAGGAAGATGACCTTCCCCTACCAAAAGCATGGGAAAGTGTTTCCTTCCTTTCTCTGTTGAGCACCAAAGAAGCAACAGCCACCATCCATCTGACCAGGGAAACGCAAACCCAAAAGCTCAGGGGCAGTTTTCCACACACTCACTTGTTGCACTGCTCTGTCACCTGCTAGTCCTGGCTCTAGTTAAAGTTCTGTCATCCTGCTGTCAAAGGGCCACCACATGCCAGTACCAGAGGTTTGTCAGTAAAAGGAACCACTGCTCACAAGTGATAGATGATATTGCATCCTGGCTAGAGCAGTGTGACATAACTCCATTTGCTTGCCAGAGGAATGTCCCAAAGTGTTTTCTGACTGCCAATGCCATCAGCAGCTGGACATTTCATGTCCATGTTACAGATTTTGAGGGTAGTGTTGAAATCCCCACTCAGCAGTAGCAATCAAGCTAATCAAGTCAAGTTTGTCAAAATGGGAGTTTCTGACTTTGGATTGAGTCAGTTGGACGCTGCAAACATGAAATCCCTATTTTTTCTTATGAAAACCAGTATGTTCCTACAAAATCTTTCAGTGTGACTCTGCATTTCCTGGTACAAAATTGTTTGCCTAGACTTATTTTGATCTCTAGCCAAAGATTTGATTGCCCTTGCCAATAAAAATGTGATTGTTCAAGCCAGGACCAAAGAATAGTTTATAGTGGACCCACCACAGAGAAGTGCAGTGTATGCCCAGCTGTCTAAGTGTGCTGGCTGCAGAGGCATGAGAATGATGTGAGCTTTGTCTCTCTTCTCCCACTGACTGCTGTGTTTGGAGCTTCATTTTAACAAAGATGTGTGAAATATTTCCAAATGCTTGCTGGTCATACTGCATGCATAATCATTAGGGCTGGCTGCTAGAAGAACCCCCATGATCACAGTGTTTCCCTGCAGTAGCTCCTTTTTTGACCTAGGTAGAGGTCAAGTCTGTCTAGGTACATTTAGTGCATAATAAGTCATCCTCACAAAAAGGTTCTCAGCGCTTGAAAAGTCTTGATGACTGACTTCAGAAATTAACTGTCCTCAGGATTAGCAACATATGCCTAGCTTCTGTTCTGAATTTGACTAACTTTAGATTTTTATTACTGGCTTTTAGACCTATTCCAAATAGGCTGAAGAGCTGTTTATTATGATCCTTTTGTGCTACCTGCTCCCCCATAGCCATAGCCATTTTCATATGCCGTAATTAAGTTAATTCTTCATTTGGCAGGCTTGTAGACATGCTGCAGGGAAAATGTATTGAGCACAGAGAAACTGCAATATTTCTCATCCCCAGGATGCAGGCTTCAAAGCTCGACAGCTAAGCTTGCAATGACATGATCACCGAACCTTTCAAGCCTTCATGGTTCGTTATGGAGAAGTATCTTGATTTCAAATGCTTCCCTGGAATTCATCCTCATTTTGAATGTGAAAGAGGTCTTTCTTGTGACCTTGTTTCATTTTTAGCAAGAATAAGTTCAAATGCGAGAGTTAAGAACGATCAAGGGAAAGGAGGGGATAGGCTGACACCAAAAGATTATCATAGTTCTGTTCTTAAGAGAAAGGTTTGCTTTTTACTGCATTCAATGCTTCCTTATTCCCCACTTGCCCATCCAAGTCTCATAGTGTGTTCTGTTCATAGAGGTCTGATCACAGGTTTTAGAGGGTCTCCTGTGACCAGAGTCATGCAGAACCATGGGAAGATGGTGGGAAGACACCCACCTCAAACGTGTGATAGAGAATTATGCATCCAAGAGTATATCCATTACATTTGTTCATGGAGGTGTGGCTGGCATCACTGGGGTGTCTGACTTACTCTGTCAAAGTTGGTACTGTCCTGTGCAGGTTGTTGAGTGGGGGTGGCCAACAGGGGCATACTAAGAAGTTGATGGGACAATGCAGAACCGCTGTGGCAGTGTGGGGTCCTGGTGTGTAGGCTGGGATCACTTGCCACGTCTTTCTTTTGCAGATCTCAGAGATGGGCTGTTCATAATGCTTTGGTTATGAAGAAAGAAGGACTGCTGAATTGCTGTTTTGCAATGGAGAAGACAGAGGGAGAAACACCAGCACTGTGGCTCCCACCCTGTTGCTTATCTCCCTGCAGACATGTGTCCCATTTCCTCTCTGTGCTGTGTTAAGGAAAAGCTTAGATATTACGACGTCTGCTTTCTTACATCACCTTTTCCAATTTTGCATCCTATAACCCCCTGGTGAAAAGAGGAACAATGACTTTGTATAGCTGCTGCTTGATTCTTTTGCTATTTACCTGGAACACAGCTGCCTATGGGCCAAACCAACGGGCACAGAAGAAGGGAGACATTATTCTCGGAGGATTGTTCCCCATTCATTTTGGAGTGGCTGCTAAAGACCAGGATCTAAAATCAAGACCAGAATCAGTGGAGTGCATAAGGTAAGCCAGGAAAAGGAAAAATAAAAAGGAGGGGGGGGAGTCTTGCCCTTTCTTGGCTACAGGTGACATGCTATACGCTGTGTCAGTACAGTCTGTAATCTGATGCTTGTAGAGGCAATGGGAAATTATGGTGTAAATAATAGAACAAAACAGGTGTGTAAAGACAGGAAGTGCATATGTTAAACAGTAACATAAATAATATTTGGACAGCGAAAGAGGGGAATCCTTGTATTACCCAAAGCTGCCAAAACGTGAATCTATCTGGCCATTCACAGGGGACATTTGAATAGTATCTGAAAATTAGCTTTCCTAGCAGAAGGGTGGAAATAACCCATAGTGCCCTTAAGTTAATTTGATTACATTGTGCATAGCAATATAGCTTAGAAATCAAATTTGGGTTTTTTTTTTCCCAGTTCTGCCTCTCATCTTCTAAAACTTTGCAAACTGTTTAATTGCCTAAACAAATGAATAGGTGAAAGTGAGATAGGTCACTGCTTTTGAAAAATCCCACTGAACACATAGATGTCTCTAAAGAGAGACCTCTACAAAGTCCCAGACTTGAACTCCTTACCCAGGCTTTCCTTACCCAAAGTCCTTTTCTTCTGTGTAAACAGTGCATATAGGTTTTGTCTTAAGTCTTTGGCAGTTAACCCTGGAGAGAGAAATAGACATGAAAACAAAGTATCTTATTAGTAAAGTGTAGCCATTTTTATGATGCAACATGAGGAATTTTTAACCTTACAACCCTGCACACAATACACATGAAGTGTGACAGAAACTGATTGCAGCTGAAATATCATATAAACAAAATATAAGAAATTGATGTTGAATTTTGTCACAACCATGCATGGAAAAACACTTCAGTGTTATAGGACCTCTTCTGTAGTCACATGTGAAAAATTGTATATCTGGCATTATTTGCACCTCTCATCCTAGACTGGGGATCTAGTACAGTTTTGTTGCAGACAGCAATGAAGAATGGCTGACAGCATGCCTGCTATGCTTACAGATTCCAGGTGCGGTTTCCCGCTGAGACACAGGACACATCCATCTAGGTTATGAGATCATCCCCAGATGGTCTCATAGTGAGCACACAGAAAGAAGTGTAATTAAGCAGGGTTTCTTTTGGCTTCTTCTGTGCATGCACAAGAAAGTCACGAACTAAAGGTATGTGAAATGTCCACTTCATGGAGCAAGAAGCTCTGCCAGATTTTCAGCATTTTTTTCTCCCCCAAGTGCAACAGTTTTAAAGTGGAACACTGAAAAGCGATGGATATTTTCAGTTCTGTGGTCATCTTCACCTGCTCCAGGTGGCAGGCAGGACAGTGCAGATATTTGCAAACTGAATATAGCTTTCATTTCTGTCAGTGCTGGGTCAGCCTCAGTGACTGCCTCGTCATGGTCACATTGTTAGAACGGACCACAAGAGAATGTTCCCCCACAAGTACTAAACATGTGTGGTTGCCAAAAGATTTGTTAATGAGCACTGCCAACAACAGGCAAATCCTGAAAAGCCAGACCAGCCGTTTTAAGGACACAATGGATGGATCCTTCTGGGTGGTATTTGATCTGCTAAAAGGCATCCTCCACCTGAAATTTGGCTGGGTAAAATCTGTGTTCCTTTTACCCCTGCACCAAGAAGTTGCAGATGCAAAAGAGAGGAGTTGACTAAAGAGGCATTTGTGCCACTTTGCCGCACTCCTTCGAGGAGCTGGATAAATTGTGAGCTAATAGCATAAGGCAAATGGAGAGAGAATACTTGATGAAAGGCAGAGATCCAGCTGCAGAGGTAGTAGCAAGACTTTTTGAGACTGGTCATTAGATTTTCTTGATGAAGATAATTAATCCATGGGACAGTTTACATGCTATGGTGTTTTCCTTGTTAGTGGTACATTTTAAATTGAAAGCAGATATGTTTCCTGAAACGATTTTCTATTTTAAGCAGAATTTAAGTCAGAAAATTCCTCTGAATGGACATGTACCGAGATCTCACAACACAACCATAGTGGTCCCTCTTGGTTTTGGAGTTCATGATTAGGTAGTAGCTTGGGGCAGGGTTGTGCATGCTCTAAAAGCCCAATACATTCTTCAGGTCATGAGGTAGAGTCTTTCATATCACATTTGAGTTTCCTCAGTTCTGGGCAGGTGGCTAGTCTGCAATGCATGAACTCGTATTTTCTGGGGAGAAGGAAAAAAAAAAAAAGATAGGCTCTAGGTTTTTTTCCAAAGTAAAATCTCCCCAATCTTGTAGTGTCAAAAGCTTTAATAAAGTGGGAAATCCAGTAGAAGACCATAAGCATGGCTGTACCTGGTCAAAAGGCACTAAATCTGTTCCATACCTTGGACTGCCCTTGTTGCCTTTCTCTGAGCTCTCTACAGTGCTGCTGTATCTTTTCAAAGGTGAGGCAAATCAGTTTTATACCCTTTTTAGATGGCTGCATACAGCTTTTAATCTCTTTATTAGTTAGGAAAATGGTTCTCATATCACATAAGAAAATTAGACCCAGGCTGTGTACAGCTTTTAATCTCTTTATTTGATAGGAAAATGTGTCTCATATCACATAAGAAAATTAGACCCAGGTCACTCCAGGAGTATGCAGGCATCCTCTCTCTTTCCTCATACTTGTCCATTAGGCAGCAACAGCAACAAGTCCTCAGACCATACAAAAAGCTCCTTGCTTTGAGGCTAGAAAAGACCTAAGAGTCCCACTGAAACCCTGTGGGTGGCTTGCCCCTGTTTCTTCTGGAGTTTGGTATCAAACAGTATAAGATAATGTGGCTTTCCTTTCTTTTGACGACCGTTCAACCTGATCTGTGCTGTTGGGACAGCTTCCCACACATTCAGATATGTTCAGTACCCTATCTTATGCTCCCAAAAAGGGCTTCTCAAAATGGGTAGGACAGATTTCTCTCCACTTTTTTCAGTTTTCATGCTCTCCATACCCTTGTGGCACAGCACCTTTCTCCCCCAGCTTAGCATATGTGCTGGCCTGAACACACCGTGTATGCCTTGCGCGTGATTATTTGGAAAACTATATACATGACTCGGTGGCAAAAGGAAAAGGGAACAGTAACGATCCATTCTCTGTTCTTTTTGTGCTGATTCTACTGAAAAGTCATCTTCATGCTTTAAGCACTGAGTTGTAGAGTTCAAAGTGAAAACTTACTCATGATTTTGCCACACCAAATGTCAGATAGGAGCACGGAAAGCCAGAGCAATTTTGTTTCCTGTGTTTCAGAAATACTTACATGGCCTATTGTTTAAGCAATCAAGTATATCACATTTGATATAAATACACCTTCTGTCTTTGTATGCCTCAGGTGCTGTTGCAGCAACTTTCCTTATAACATTTGCTGATGCATATCTGATGTGTGCAGTGGAGGCAGAGGCTGAGCACAGCACAAGCAGTCCCTGACCCCCATCTCAGCACGCACAGGGGCCTATTCATAACATGATTTCTCTGTCCTTTCTTGATTTCAGGTAGATTAGCAGTGGTGATGGTGGTGGTATCATTATTGCTAGCGTTATTGCATAGATGGGTGGTACCCATGGGTTCCTTTTACTGTAACGAACTGTTTGCAGTGGGGACACATCTTTATGGAGCGGAGATACAATGTTGCCAATATGGTGTCACTGGGTCATCATTTCCAGTGCATATTCCCTGTATTCTGATCTGCAGTCTAGCCAAGGTCCCCCACACCGTGACACTGTGGTGGGTTGACCTTGGCTGGATGCCAGGTGCCACCAAGCCGGTCTGTCACTCCTCTCCTCAGCGGGACAGGCGGGGAGAGTACGAGAGGGAAAAAAACCTCATGGGTCAAGATAACGGCAGTTTGATAAAAGCAAAAGCAAAGGCTGTGCAGGGAAGCAAAAGGAAAACAAAGATTTTATTCTCTGAGTCCCATCAGCAGGCCATGTCCAGCCACTTCCCGGGAAGCAGGGCTTCAGTACGTGTAGTGGTTGCTCTGGAAGACAAATATCGTAAATAACAAATGTCCCCACTTCCTCCTCCTCTCTTATGGAATACCGCCTCGAGCAGTTTGGGTCAGCTGTCCTGGCTATGTCCCCTCCTAAGCTTTTGCCTACCCCCAGCCTGCTGGTGAGGGGGGGAAATGTTGGAGAGACAGCCTTGATGCTGTGCAGCACTGCTCAGCAGTAGCCAAAACACTGGTGTGTTATCAACACCTTTCTAGCTACTGGTGCAAAACACGGCACTGTGAGGGCTGCTGTGGGGAAGATTAACTCCATCTCAGCCAGACACAATACAGAGATGTAGCTTTCAGGCTGTGAAACTGCAGTGAGACATCATCCCCATGTCATAGTGCGGGACTTCACAGAGCATGACTGCTGGGACACTTTAGCTCACAGAGTCTGTGTGTCTGTCTGAGAGAACAGAGTATTTTAATTCTGCCCCTTGTGGACGTATTTGCTAATTCCACAGCAGAACTGAATGCATAACAAATTTAGAACGTCCTCCCTGAGACCAAATTATTTTATTTTCCTCTTTCTCTTCTACCCATCTTCTGATTTTTTTTTTTGTCTGCATAATTCCCCTTACCCATAGCCCTAACTTCTGAGTGTAGTAAGCAACTCATTATACCTACTGACTACAGGAATCCAACAAATGACTGAAGGTCTCCCCCTTGCATAGCTTAGTAATAGCAGTGGTAGTAGCAGCAATAACATGCAATTAATGTACTGGAAATCTACAGAGGACAGAGAAATTAGCATGTGCATACAACCACTAGAGAAAGAGGAGTACTGGCGTGAGCCAAGAGGCATATGCAGGCTTTGCCACCATTCTCGAATAAAAGTACCTGTCAGATATGGGAGGGTAAATGAAAGCTGTATTTACAGCTTTCACATTACTTTCTCCTCCTTTTCCATCATATTCTATTGCTTTTAGTTTAGTGCCTTGCAAATTTTGATAAATGAAGGTCATGAATTCACATGAGGCTGTGAATTATTCCTTTATGGAGACCAACAGGGATCAGGTCTAATTTCCCTGCTGGATCTGGACAGTATGAGCCGTTCAAACCAAACCAGACAAACAAACAAGCGAACAGGGGATGAGCTATGGGGAGCTAAAACTATGCAGCGAGATGATGTCCCTTAATTTACATACCCTTGCTTTGTAACATTGACAGAGACATTTAAGCCATCCTGAGCACCCCTTGACAGACACATTTATACCACCTAGGAAGAAAACCGTGGGAATCAGTGAGTTTACTATCTAGCAAACTGAGTGGCTGCAAAGATAATATGTCCCTCGCAGATGTGACAATCAAAATGAGGATTTGTGGAGGAATTGTTTCTGATTTATCTTTCCCTGTTTGTGCTCCTGCCTGGGAACAGAAAGAAAGGGTTGCATGCTCTGGCAGGTGGGGGAACAGGCATCAGAGGAGAAACATTTGAAGAACCGAGCGTAAATAAAAATTCCTATCTACACCTTTAGGCACTGAATTATTTACATTAAACTCTCATTTAGAGCTTAATGACCACTTTTCATAGCACCACGTCTCAGAAATGTTAAAATACAAGACTATGCCAATGTACTTGTAAAGTAATATGGCAGAAAATAAGTTTTGAAGGCTGCTTATTTTCCACCAAGAAAATATCAGTGACTATGTAAAGCTTCTGGAAATCTAATGACAAGTTTGCTTCCGTTAGCAAATCCTTTGCAGTTTCTTCATGGAAATTACTGGTCAGATTTCTGCACGGTTGACAGAACATTACGGTGACTAGTCATATTAGTCACAGCAGCAACATAGCACAGGAGGTCAGCTGGATCGGTGTAACCCGCTGCCAGGTTCAAAGGCTGCTCTTACCCATCACTCACATACACACCAAGCCAAGAGGAACGTATCCGTAGCCCCTTGCCGGGGTCTTACAGTACAATGGGAGAGAATTTATCCACACAATTTCCATTCACCGGGATTGAAGGAATCATGAAATCTTGCTTCATTTAGACCAGTTTCGTGGCAACCATATCCACGTTACAGTACTGATACAACACAGTATCAGTTAATAAAATGAGACTTTGTCTGAAGCTCTATCAGGTATTAGAGAAGACAGAGCAAGCTGTGTTTGTCTCCATCCCGCCTGATCCTCTTCTCCTGATCTGCTGGTGCTGCTATCAGCAGAGGTGCAGCTGAAGAGAACTGCAGGTCTCCTTCCAGGCTAGTTTGAGGGAAATTATCAAAAGCATTTCTAAGACGTTTTGGAGTCTAGCTCCCAGAAAACACCCCATGCCCTCCTTTCCCCTCCAAAATAAAACCAGTCCAAACTCAAGTACCTGAAATATGGGCCATATGCTGTAAAATAAGCATTCATCAGGAGCATATGTCAGAAAGGAAAATAAAAGCAATTGTGCATCACAGGCCTTAGTCTGGATCTACTGAATGAAATGGCAAACACAGTCTCTGAAGTCAAGGGGAAGACAGTCCAGTTCTCGCTGCTTGGGGAGATGCCACCTTGCTGCATCCAAAAAAAACATTAAGCCAAATTGCTGTCAAGCAGGCAAAATAATTCTGTGTCATACTCCACCTGCATAATTGAATATGAGCAGGCTTAAATTTACTTTTACACATGCTCAAACGTGTGAAGTTTTTCACAGTGGTACAGTGGTACCTTTGAACTTTCCAGCTTCTCAGCAGTCTTCCCTTTAAATATAGAAAATGCTTTCAGATTTTTCTCTTTTACATGAGAAGCCTGAATATAGCTCCTTGCTTGAAATCCTATTTTCATTTTAATTAGAGATATCTGTAAACACATTTAGCTTTATAAAAAGAAGTGTCACAAGCCCCCTCCCTGCTGTCATTCATCCCAGCAAGCATTACTGACCACGTGAGGCAGCGTGGTGTGCCTGGAACATCTTTTTTCTGTACACAACACTCACTGCCTATTTCAAACTGAGACTTATCCTTTTATTTCAGAGCTCTCCCATTGCATCTCGCTCCTTAGTGGTTTGGAACTAGAGCAAAAAATATTCTAAATGACCAAATTACTTCAAACTGTAACACACACTCACATGTTCTAAAGGGTGTCCATTTTCTTAAGGATGATATTAAAATAGCTAGCTGTCCTTTTGGTCGTAAATTACAACGAAGGATTTTTATTGGCCTCAAACTTTTTGACTTGAAGAGATTTGTACGGAAACCATACTGTCTGGTCTTTAAGGTACAACCTCAGAGCAGAACATCATTTGGAAGCTGGCCAAAGATGTCTGGAGCAGGTGACATCAAGTTGAATAAATGAAGTTTTAATTTAAGACTTAAAGATAAACCTTAGATGTGATATCTTTAGAACTGCTGATCCCAGATAAGTCAGGTAAAACTCCTAGAATGGAAGTAATGTGGCTATGTTCATGCAGCTTTAAAGAAGTCAGACACAGCTTACATCAACTTTGGAAGCAATTTATTTAATCCAGTAATTAAAAAATGTTCAGTTCGTGTATCTCAGAGATTGGAAATTCGTGATTTCATGAAGCATATCTTTAGAAATCTTCACCTTGGTAATGGAAACATCTCTCAAAGCATTTCAAAATGGCACTCGTGAAACCTAAAATTTACTATTTCTTACAGAATCTGTTCTTGGACAGGCTATTTCCCCAGGCTCTTCCAGTTCTAGGGCCTGTCAGTTTTCCCAGCGAATCTCAAGCCCAATAGCTTTGATACTTTCCTGTTTCCAGCTGCAACCCAATACAAAACTGCAAACTAAGTGCTGACTAACAGTGCATTACAAGGAAGTTCATGAAAGATTCTGCCATTCCAGCTGAATTACCCTAAAACATGGCAGCTTCACAGGTGCACAACCAGTTGCTTTTGCAGCTTTACAGGAGAAAACACAGTAGGTACAGCTAGAGATTAACACGTCCCCAGATCTGTGTTAGAGATAGCCAGAAAACCCAGCTACTCCATTTTTGAGAACAGAAGAGGCTTCGAAAAACAGTTTCAGTTTCATGGGCCAGCTCTGATGGCATCTTCTGAGTTCATGTCTGAAGCAAATGTATGAGAGCACTATGATAAAGAGAAAAGTTATTCCTTTCCACTGAAATATCTAATTAACAAGTTAGGAAGCTAAGATTTACATTTGCAGCATCTCTGCTGTAAACAGGTTGACCGTGCCCTCTCTCACAGTGTGAAGTGTGTGATGTGAGGCCAGATTTCCCTGAGCAGAGCTACCAGGCACCTTTGCATCCAGGGGCGCGCCTGTGCTGTATCTCAGCTCGCTCTGCCTGCCTAAAGCCACGAGGAGCTGGCACACTGAGTATCCCTGAGCCCAAGCCCCTGACAGCAATGCACTCAGCACAGGCTTTGCAGACACTGCCATCTGCATTCAGAAACATGTCAGAGGAGCCTGGAAGGAAACCTAGCAGGACGGAAACCTGGTAGGTGTAGCTTTGTGTCAGAGCATTTTGCTGAGGAATCACGACATCCAGGTTTAGGGTACTGAGCAGAAGGGACAGGCCAGAGCCAACACCCCAGGTATGCTCTCTTTCAACTTTCCCAGACTTTAGAGGACTTAGAAAAGTTCACCTCATCTTCACAACCTCTGAAGTGAGCTCCCAAACTGAAGAGCTGAAAACTGGAACAAAACCTTGTAGTGAATGCATGCCTCTTATGTAACCACTGAACACAAAAGCAATACTTCACAAACGTAGTAGGATGCAAGAAATCACATAAGTTGCTTTTACCTTTTGTATCTGGAATTCTTCACTCTGTCTTTGTCTCAGTCCTGGTCTCCTCTCCTCTGTTTCCTTACTCCTCACTCTATTTTATTTTTATTTTTGCTCCCCTAGGTATAATTTCCGAGGCTTCCGCTGGCTCCAGGCTATGATCTTTGCCATAGAAGAAATAAACAGTAGCCCAACTCTCCTTCCCAACATGACCCTTGGATACAGGATATTTGACACTTGCAATACAGTCTCTAAAGCCCTCGAGGCCACACTGAGTTTTGTGGCCCAGAACAAGATAGACTCCTTAAACCTGGACGAATTCTGCAACTGCTCAGAACATATCCCTTCCACCATCGCAGTCGTGGGGGCAACCGGCTCTGGCATCTCTACCGCTGTGGCCAATCTGCTGGGACTCTTTTACATACCTCAGGTATGCTTTCAACTTCTCTTGTTTAGGTACAGCTGGGAGTATTGCTGTTTGGAGGGGATCTTTCAGTACATTATAGAACCAGGACAGGGAACTGCACTGCTGCCTTATGCACTCCATCTCTATTTCAAACAAAGGAAAGTTTAGAAATGCAATGGCCCTAGGTGTACAAATACATCCTTGGAGGGCTGAGGGGCAACACAATGATGAGAAGCACTGGGTTTTAAAGTGGGACATCATTTTACATGCAAGCAAGCCATCTACTTCCCTCCATGTGTCCTAACTGCACACCAGAAGATCTCAAGGGGAGTTCAGCCTCTGTGGCTTGTTTAATCTTTGACACTTCCAATAGAACCTCAAGGAGAGAAACAATGCAAAATGTGGGGGGTTTGTTAAGGTAGAAATATGTCTTGCTGACAATTTGCAATCCGCAAACACAAAGGTTACCAAGCAGCCAGCAACAACATTCAGCCAACAGCAACAGGAGGACTAGAGTCCTACAGAGTGTTTTAATCTTGGCATGGGTAAATTAAGTCAGTCATTGGCAGTTGCCAGCCTTGACAGGTTATTTGTGATGCTTCTTCACCACGATCACTGTCTAGTCATGCCCAACTCCCACAGAGCCCACTTAAGGCAGAGCTCAGTCATTGCCAGCTCCTCTTAGGTCTCTCAGCACGATCTCTGATCATTCAAGTAGGTGATCTCTAAAGTTGTTTCTGCTGATCAGGTGCTGCAAAGGTTTCTTCTGGGCTGACCTGCCTTTCTTTTGCCCTAGGGCCTTCAAAACAGGGTTTGTGAGAGCATGTGGATATGTCTCGCCTGGTCCTGGGGTCATCTGTGTGGTGGTGTAGTTGTACCAGCTCCTGTGTTGCAGCATCCTTCTTGCTGTCTGCTGACTCTACTGGGGTCAGTGCCGGCACCCATGGTCCCATCCTTTTGTTTAACAAACTTGCTGCTCTGCCAAGACCCTAAGCAAAGTATGAGGCTGGCATATTATAGCTTAATGCTGTTGCTCTTGATTTTAGATTTCCACACTGAAGACAACTTTGGAAAAGTGCCTTTTCCATTTATTTGTTCCCTTGTATAGCCTAGCATTTCCAATTCCTCTTCTAAAATGAATACAGGTGACAGAGCTCACAGGAGTCCTTCTAATAAGACTGCATCACACTGCACTCTCAGTCTGTCCTGAGAGGATATATCTTTATTTCAGCCAGGGATCCAATTCCCATCTGCACCACAAATGAAGAAGGAAGGATTCTTGTCTGCCTGGTGCACAGCAATATATCTTGTCTATTTAATGTTACCAGTCTGGCTCCCTCACAGGAGTCTGAAAAAATGGTCTCTAAGCAGGGCAAGAATGGTTTAAGCTAAGACCAATATATGCTATCTAGGTATTGCCCAGAGTAGCATAGGAAGGTGGTGTGTAATAAACAATGTGATGGCATTTTAAGGCATACTGATAATTTACACATTGCATTACCAGATGAACAAGAGCAGCTGAGAAATGTTGGTGGGTTGGACTGCACATAAGAGATGTTTGCAGTTCTCAGACTTTCCCTTTGAACAGGGAATGGCGTTTGTGCTACCAGGCGGTCTTATCTAGAGGTTGCTGAAACGGGTAGTTGTCAGGAGGTTCAGTTCTGGAATGAAATCTCAACCAGGTGGTTGAAGTATGACAACTGAAAGCAAGCTTTTAAACTGGGAGTTGTTGGGCAGCATTAGAATACGCATTATTGCTGCCGTTTATAGTAAGGCCATTAGCAAATCCATGCTTAATAGACCCTGCATTTCAGTACAAGTTGGAGGTATATTTTACAATTAATGTGAGGCTCATTACTCATTCCGTTGACATAGAAACTAAAAATGTTATGACTCCAATTCTTCTTCTCAGTATCTCACCTCAGTGTACCTTTACAGCACATGTGGGAGTGGGGTACCTTGCCTGTACCCCCTGGCACTAGGTTTTAGGAAACAGAAGTAATACTGGGCAGGAGCCTGTCAAGGGGAGAATATAGCTCTGTGAAAGGAGGATTTGCTCCTGTGGCCCTTGAAACTGCACTAGGAGACCTTTTTTTCTTTCTTCTTGCAGAAACATTAAATGCTGGAGTTTAAGGAGGAGTTAAAGTTTTCTGTAAATTTCCACTTTGTACAAAATGAGCTGTTTGTAGAAGGCTTTTTCAAAATGAGAGTCAGTCCTAAAGAGTTCAGATACCAATCTCAAAATGCAAAGATAAGTGAGTTTTAAAAGTTCTCCAGATCATTAAACTATTCTCTTCTGTGTTTTATGGTTTTCTTCCTACTTGTAGAAAATCCAAATTATATCTTAAGAGCATATGGCACTTGTTCTGATAAAAAAAAAAACATTTCTTGATAGCTTTAGCAAGGGAAATAAAATCCCATTCTAAATGTAAAACACAGTGGCTCATGGAGCGTGGAATGCCTACTGGCTTCTTTGCTGATGCTGGCCAGCAATCAGGAAATGCTGGCCAGAATAAGGAAATATTGACCAGCATTACCTTAACACTCCACATGGTTAAGGCGACTGATATACATCACATTCTTCTTATTTCAGCTGGCAGGGATTGTATATAACACACATATGATGGAGCCTGTTTAAAGATGGGGACAGAAATAAAAGGCGAGGAGAGAGAGACAGTGCTCTTCAGAGAAGGTCTGGGATGGCAATATCAGCCTCCTGTCTCATGTCTGGTTCAGGACAGAGGAAGCCTGCATTTTGTCTGAATTATGTGCATTGCCCTCATTAATCTAAAATATACATTCTTCTTGTTTCTGGATTTGGCAGAAAGAGCAGCAAGTGCATGTAGGCCACCCGTGGCTCACCTCTTTGCCATTCCTCCAAACTAGTGTCAGTGTCTTTCTCCCTCAGATCCTTGACCTTACAGGTGGACACGAGCTTGCTCCAGTCTCTTGGGTCCAAGCAGCTGCTCCTTTATGTGTGCCTCTGTAAGACAGTCACAGCTACAAGAACATACAGACTCTCAGAGTGGCTCATATGCAACCACAGGCTAAGGGTACGTGGCTGCCAGTGTGGTGGTCAGCTCTCTCTTCATCCCATCCGAGGTTACACAGGTTGACAATGATGCTAGATAAAGGTAGGCAATTTATTCCCAGGCAGTTCACTTCATGGTGTGTTTTGCTTTTTCACTGTGCTCCCACAGGTCAGCTATGCCTCATCCAGTCGTCTCTTGAGCAATAAGAACCAGTTCAAGTCCTTCCTCCGCACAATCCCCAATGATGAGCATCAGGCCACGGCAATGGCAGACATCATCGAGTACTTTCGCTGGAACTGGGTGGGAACAATTGCAGCTGACGATGACTATGGCCGGCCAGGGATTGAAAAGTTTCGGGAGGAGGCAGAGGAGAGAGACATCTGCATTGATTTTAGCGAGCTCATTTCCCAGTACTCGGACGAAGAGGAGATCCAGCAGGTGGTGGAGGTTATCCAGAACTCCACAGCAAGGGTGATCGTTGTTTTCTCCAGTGGCCCGGACCTGGAGCCCCTCATCAAAGAGATCGTCAGGCGAAACATCACCGGCAAGATCTGGCTGGCGAGCGAGGCATGGGCCAGCTCTTCCCTCATAGCCATGCCAGAGTTCTTCCGCGTCATCGGCAGCACCATTGGGTTTGCACTGAAGGCAGGACAGATCCCAGGCTTTCGTGAGTTCCTGCAGAAGGTGCATCCCAAGAAGTCCACCAACAATGGCTTTGCCAAGGAGTTTTGGGAGGAGACGTTTAACTGCTATCTCCCCGATGGGTCCAAAAGTTCTCCAGCTTCAACTTCCTTCCACAAGGGCCATGAAGAGGGACTGGGAGCTGGAAATGGAACGGCTGCCTTCCGACCTCCGTGCACAGGGGATGAGAACATCACCAGTGTAGAGACACCATACATGGACTACACGCACTTGCGGATATCCTATAATGTGTATTTGGCAGTATATTCTATTGCCCATGCCTTGCAGGATATATATACCTGTACCCCTGGAAAAGGACTCTTCACAAATGGATCCTGTGCGGACATTAAGAAGGTTGAGGCATGGCAGGTAAGTCCTTTATTTGTGTGCCTGTGCGATATACTTGCAGAAAAAAAAGACAGGCTGTCCCAGAGCTTTTAGGGTGCCTTTCATAATCCTCGTCTCACAGACAGCATAAGGCTCCTAGGACATAGCATATCCCTGTGTGCAAGTTAATTGCATGTCCCCACCCCACAGGGAACGTAAGGTAAGTTGTGTTAGGTTTGCCTGCAGTGAGAGGGGCTTAAACTAAGTTAAAATTTCTTGCGTTTGCTATGGGCCAAAAGTGCACACACAGACAATTACCACAGCCTGGCTGACGCAAGGTAACTTGATCATATATTGAGCCCTTACATAAACAAGAGGGCCTGGAGAGAGCACATGAACAAGGAAAACAGTTTTTAGAGTTCATTTTCTTTGGCAAGCTCTACGTCTTTTGCAATCCCACAGCAATTTTCCATACAGGCCGTATTTTTTTTCCACAGTTTTAACCTTATATAGGATCAAACTAAAGCAGGTTGAGAAATGAAGGAAAATAAAATGTGGATGTTGGGCAAATAATAGATAGCTGCTTTGATTTGGCAGTGATATTTGTGAACTGATAAAATGATACTAATGACTTAGTCACATTTACCCATTCATTCAATGTGTTCTGCCCATCGGCATATGGATGGTATTCTGGCATTTTCTCTTCTGATCTTTTATGAATACTCTGTACCTTACCATATGTTTGATTGTGCTATCCAATGTGATATTCAGCATGTGTTTTTAATATCTATTGCGTTTTTAAATAACAAAATTATCTTGTAAGACTATCAAATGAAGATATGCCAAATACGTAGCAAATTCTGTTTGTCCTGTACTGGTCATCACAGAAAACTTGGGCTCAAACATGCCTGAAATCAGAACAACATGGATGAATATAAGGAGGATCACATCCCCATTTGCATGTGTAATTTCCTCTGTTTGGGATAGTCTAACCAAAATAAAGGCTACTTGCACCACAATCTTTGCAGATGTTGGGTCAGCATCCACATGTGGGAACTGCACTTTGGTTCCTGCCCAGTCTCAGTCAACTCAAAAACATCACTCAGATCAAAGTAAAAGGCTTTGTCTTGGCATTCATGGGAAACCTGCATTGCTCTAGGTACCTGATTTGGGTTTACCAAAACCACTTTACTCGGAGTTGATGAGCGCAGGGTTTGACCCTGGTTTAAGGGAATCCTGCGATTGCTCGCTCTCTCTGAGGTTTCTGTCTTTCAAAGCTATTCTGCTTTTCAGGAGCATAGTGGCAGAAGTGGGCAAGTCACAGACAGATTTAGCTTTCACCGTGTCAGTAAAAATGATCCAGAATAAATATATTTCAAATTTTTTCCCTTATGCCTTTTCATATTGGAAAGTAAAGCAGGATATTCATACCACAGCTAAGTAAACTAATGTGTCCTCTCATTTCTTTTGTTGCCTGTCTGGTGCTGAAGGATGGCTGTATCAAAAGGTAAAGCATCCTGCTGAGCTAGGCTGTTGGGTATGCCTGCTTGCCTTAAAGGAGGGAATCAGCGTCAAGAAGGAGTATGTGGGGGATAACAGGACTGGGTAGGAATATCAGATGCTACAAAGGAACAGGCTATATTTGAAATGACCACCATTATGTGGTGCAGGCTGTGAAGCATATTTGATATTTGTGCATTTTTTCACTTTATTTCAAAATCAAACACATGAATAGCAGGTAAATGCCAAATGTGTGTGCATACCTACTTCATATCAGGCATTGCGGCTCATTACCCTTGGGAATCTTTCCTCAGCCCCAGGGGTAATGAGTTCACCTCACAAACGTGCATCCTCCAGCATCTCCAGAGAGTGGTTTTCTGACAACCAGATGGAAGAAATCCTTTCTACTGAAATAACTCTCATTTGTAGTAGTCCTTCTGCTGGTGGTCAGTGCCTGCTCCCTCTTCTTGCAATCCGCTCGAGGGTTTCTTGATGGGAAGTGACCTGAGAGAGCAAGGACGGTGTTAGAAAGCCTCCACACATGAGATTGGAGGCAGCAGCCGCTGAGAGTGTCCGCCAGCGCTGACCAGGTGGTGTGTGGGACAGATAAGGCAAACGCAGTGAACTTGTAGCTCCATTAGCCTGAGCTCCTGTCCAGAGTAGTGGGGTTGGTGTCTGGGGAGGATAAATGGTGTGTTCCACAATTTAATTATGGACCATTTAGTTTTGTTGCCTTTCAGTGGCATTATCCCATTAACAGATATTATTTATCCGTTGCCTGCTAATTGTTAATTTTATGTACTCAGAATGTAAACCTTTTTGGAGGAACTGGTTTACATAATTTGTGGAGGGTGCTTTTGGGGGTCTGTATATAAAAATAACATTTTTACCTCAGCAATTAGTTCAGTTGAACTGGACAGCAGGAAGCCTAGCACAGAATTACTGTTGAGTTGGTTAAATTTGGTGCAATTCTCCTATTAAGAATTTACTATCTACTGTTTAAGAAAGCTCTAAGTACGTTTCATCATGGGGAGCACGGGATTTTTCTGTGTCTCACAAGCTGAAATATCAAATACTGACAACTTGCTTCTCTACTTACTTATAGTTACTTGTTTAAGAAGCTGCTTGCTCATTTTCTTCACCTGTGTCGGTGGTCTGTGACAGATGCTGTCCATAAACCCAGTCATGCTTCCTTGTTTTACCAACGCCTCTGAAGCTGGCAGTGGGCTCCTCCACTAGAGATGGGACTGGCCAGCCCGAGCTCGCAGGCTGCCGCAGCTCATGCGGAGGTGCAGGCGCAGGCAGAGCAGGTGAGCAGGCAGGGCAGCGTCCAGGCAGGGGCTGTGCCACTCACTCCACACATGGAGCTGCCCGTGAGATTTAGAGTCCTCCCTCTGAAAATGGGAAAACTTGTGCTTCTGCACTCTGCAGAAAATTACAGACTTGAATAGGATGTCTGCGCTGCGCTTATTCTGAGCAATGTATATGCCTGCAGCTGTCATATTTCAAGAACCTACCCTGCTGCAGGGCAGAAGATAATCCAGGTGCACACCTTTGGAAGATGCCTGCAAAGAGCAGATAGTATTCTCTGCACATGCCATTGTGGCGTCCTGCACAATATGGATCAAGATCAGATTAATTACTTCCTTTTGCAGTGTTTTGTTCAGGTAACAAAAAGGTGCAGGACAATCCAGAACAAAATGTATAAACAATATGCATCACATTTGGAAAAGGCAAAATTTTACACAAAGCACTAAGGGTTAAAGTGTATGACTGCAAATAGTACAATAGAAAGAATCCTTTTAAAGGACTCCTTCACCCCGATGATCAGATGCCCATTCTCTTTTGCTGGTGGGCTGTGATTTTTTTAGGAGACTGTACTGAATAGGGCTTATTCTGTGTGTTGCTCTGGTTCATGGACTAGCCTCCCCCAAATACAGGCTCTCCTATAAGCTATGCAATAGCAGTGGGAAGGTATGGCAAGAGGTGGGACATGGGCTCAGGACTCTTGTACTGATGCTGCCTCTTTGTCAAAATTCCTTGCATCTTTGGCCTGTTCCTCCACAACAGCTCGAACAGTCAGCTTCTGAAGCTCTTTTTTCTTAGTATCTTCCTTGGTAAGATCTCCCAGGTCCCTCAGGTTCCTTCATTTTCTTGGTCTCTGCTCACATGGCTATCCCCATGGTCACTGCTAACAGCAAGTCTATCTGTTCTTTTTTCAATTCCCCTCTGAGCAAAGATTTAGAACCCTTTGGGGCATTTACAGGAGACTCTCTGGTGTCTTTCTCATTTCAAACAGTGGGTGGTCCTGCAAAACATAAGAGGAAAACCAGTAAGGAATCCTAATCTGTCCTTCGGAGCAAATATTTATCACTTCATATTCTTTCTGTGTGAGAAGAGGAAAACCCTGTCTTTTCCTCAGACATAGTTCACTCTGTGTTTCTGCCCATTCCTTTGGCAGCTGATGCACCTCTCTTTCAGTGAAAGCATTGCAGTTAAATGGGGAAGATGGGGTCCCGTGGATTTGAGAAGGCAAAGGTGTGCAGTCACAGGGTCATGGAGCAGACCAACCTTCGGTGGACTCCCAGACAGTTTTCAAGCTGTGGTTACACTGGAGGCTCTGAACTTTGGCAGGTTCATGAGTGAAAAATGAGACAGCTCTTCTAGGCATCAGGGCGAAGCATGCTGCACAGACTGAAAAATTAGCTGTCCTAAAGATTACCAGGCTAAAGACAGGCTCATGTAAATTATTCTGTGCCTAGAAATCTGATTGACCTCAGACTTGGTGAAAAGCTGCCATATGCTGTTCCACAAAATAAAAGCAAATACAAATTGGCTTCACCTAGCAACACCTCAAGTCTTTTATTACATTGTGCACCTCCCAGCCAACAGTTCCTTCCTCTATGCAGGTGATACACATTATGAAGAGGTAAAAATGGATTGGTGCCTTCTCTAACTTTACATTTAGGTATGTCTGGCTGGCTGGAAATTGATTCTGCAAGGCTTTAAAGAAGCAAATGATGCCTTAGATGACAAATGTCTCTCCAGACCTTTGAGCCTAAAGGTTTATCTAATCAATTTTGTGTCTGTTGAACTATATAGGCCTGTCTGAACAATTAAAATGGTAGATGGAAATCAGCTGCTTTGTGGTGTAGTGAAGGAAACAGTATCAGAACAGGTATTAACTGAGGCTGATGTGAAAATTAGCCATTCAGGAAGCAATGAAGACAGAGGAAGGTGCTGAACGCCAGGCAACTGCAAAACCTCATCTAGTCTGCATTACAAGTGCACTGGAGACATATTTGTTATGAACAGAAAGCAAGCATTTCATCAGCGTACCTTTGTTGTGGGAGATGGAATTGAGAGGCAGACAGTTTGACCCACACCCAGAAATGTGTGGATCAATAGAGCAAACACAGCTATTTCCCCACAAGGGCAATAACAGATGGTTGCTTATTCATCAGTTCGCAAATAACGACTTGCCATCATCTGAGAACATCACTTGTGAGCTCTTCAGCTAAGCAGACAATAAATGGAGTATT